AAAGAGAGGCGGATGATACCAATCGGATATTCAAACTGATAAGTCGATAAAAACCGACAACGTCGGGGCGAAAAACGCAAAAAACGACCAAAAGACAAACAACAGTATACAACACACAACATAGAAAACTGAAAACTGAGCAACACGAACCCCACCCCAAAAAGGGAAGATCTCAGGTAATCCTGAACATGCATTTAAAAAAAAATCTGAATGGATAAATATTTGTTGAACATGTTTCGTATAAATGCAGATAAAAAAGAGAAGGCTAAACCCTACAGTTGTGATTGTTTTTATACGACTATAAAAATAGAGATGTCAATGATTTACTATGAGACAACTGGAAATCCGATATCAAAGGATAAAAACGTACATAATTAAAAAGCATTGTACAGCCCTCAAAATGAGTACAGACAATATCGTAAAGTAAGCTAAAAAAAAAAGAACCCAACATGTCAAAATGTTAAACAATTCAAAAGAGAAAAACCAATGGTCTGATGTTTACTGAATACTACACACGAAACGCTCTTTTATATGTATCGACTGACTGCTCAATGAAAATAAAATTGTTGAACCCGAAGAACAGTGAAGACAAGAAACAAATTATGTTCATTATATTTTATTCCATTTAAATATATTTATGTCACAGTAAATCTTTCTCTCCGATTTTTGATCTCGATTATGTCTTCGAGCTATTAATGTGAATGAGAGTATCAAAAATATAGGATGTTAATGAAGCAAGTTTTTTTGGGGGGAAACTTCAATATCACAATATTTGTATCCCCAGTTATATGCTCACATATTGTTGTCAATATAATGGAATTACATATGACTGTCATTCAAAAGAGAGGTTCAGCTAGCTATAAAATCAAGTTTAATCCACCATTTTCTACATAAGAAAATGCCTGTACCAAGACAGGACTATAACAGTTGTTTTCCATTCGTTTGATGTGTGTGAGCTTTTGATTTTGCCATTCGAAAAGGGACTTTCCGTTTTGAATTTTCATTGGAGTTCGGTATTTGTGTTGTTTTACTTTTTAAAAACTTCAAGTTAAAAGATCGGGTCAATTTTATTTTGTTTTGGTCAGGACCTCTCAAATGAAGACATGTCAACAGACCTGTATTGGGTCAGGGTTAAATTCCTTGATGTTCATTTTTTTTATTTACTTGCATTTGGTCAATACCACTGTGGATGGACTATCAGTACCGGAGGGCATCATCAGTCTAGTAGTCAGTGCTTCGACACTGGCATGATGTATAACATTTTTTCCGTCAAAAAATTTCAAGTTGGTAAAATTAAGAAATTAATCAGAAAACTTAGGTTCAAACTCATTCAGGCAAAGTCGACCTTTTATAAATTTGGCAATACTTTGTAGGTCATGTTTGGTCATACAGCTCCTAACGTGTCTACATATTTGTGCATCTCTGGATTTCACATATTTGGGTTTGAGCGTTACTGGTGAAGTTAAATCCAGAGAGGTTCCTCAGACGCACGAAATTTATAAGGTGTTATTTTCCTTTTATACATCCTTGGCTCTAAAACTTGTGGATTTGAGCGTTCCTGATTAAGGTTAATCTAAAAAAGCGATATGGACGCACATAATTTATACAGTGTTATTTGCATACCCATCAATGTATTATAAACATTCAAACAAGCGAGAGAACAAAAGATGTCCACAATAAATGTCTTTCGATGGACCCCTGCCACACATGCAAAAGTAAACAATAGATCGACTAAGGGACGCATGATTTTAGGGGCCCCTGCTAATACGACAATTCCCGTTTGCCAGGGAAAATACAAATTTGATATTTTGATATTTTGAAACACTTTGAGTTTACAATAATTATAATTTTCTAAACGTCTTCTATCTCACCTATGTAATAAAAATGAAAATAATTAAATATATATGTATATATGAAAATTCACAACTATTTGTATTCTAATGTAAATTTTGAATATGTTATCTGTGCCGTGCTAAATGGTCAATTAAGGAGCAAGAAATGATCATAGCCTTTTATTGTTGTTTAAATATTTCGTACCGGTTGAATAACCAGTATGTTAGGTCACACGTGCAAAAACGAATTGTGTGATGTTTTTATATAGATGAAAATGTGAAGGAGACTAATGGTGATGTGTAAAAAAAGTAAAATAACAAAAATACCGAACTCCAAGGAAAATTCAAAACGGATAGTTCCTTATCAAATGGCAAAATCAAAAGCTCATACACATCAAACGAATGGAAAACAACTGTCATATTCCTGACTTGGTACAGGCATTTCCTTATGTAGAAAATGGTGGTAAACCTCTCACTTGTGTGACAGTCGCATAAAATTCCATTACATTGACAACAATGTGTGAACAAAACAAACAGACATAATAGATAAACATGTCAAAAATAGGGGTACCGCAGTCAACATTGTTATAATCTTAATCACTATAAAAAAAAAACAAATATGTCAACAAAGAAAAACAAAATGGCATATAGACAAAGCACATAAGCAAAAATTAAAGACAAGAATATAAAAAATAACCATAGCACAATAACACAATGGCGGGATATATAAGTACCGAGCCACGTCAAAAGGATATTACCAAAAATGGACAACAGTAAAGGTTAATAATTTACAAAGATAAATAAAAGAACACTATAACACGTAATTAAGATGATAAACAACGTCAGTTCCTAGAATCTATACTTGAAGACCATCATGTATTATTTGTGAAGTTGATACGAAATATTTATCAACAAGGTCTTGGTATCTTCCGATGAAATTTTTTAGAAAAAGGACGAGACGTTCTTTGACATAACCCTGGTTCATCAACTTTCTGCTCAGACACTGGTGACGTTTTATAAAGTCTGAGTAGCAGCTGCAAGCTCTTGAATACCGAATAAGTTGGGAAATGTATATCTCATATGCAGGTGAAGTTGGTATATTGCTACTAAAGTGGGGGAAATTGATAATTTCAAAATTAAAATCGTCTTGTTTGTCAAAGATTTTGGTACTGAGATGACCGCTTATGTAAAATTCGAGGTATAAGTCTGAAAATGAGGCGGAGGAAGCCGTGTCTGTTGTTTCTTTAATTTCTAGTTCTGGATATATTAATGGAACCCAATCAGAAAAGTTTGGATTGTTAATTGTAAGAACATCATCAATATATCTGAATGTGAAATTAAATAATCTGGCTTCTTTGATCTTCTTGTTTTTGACAAGTGTTGGGAGGAACTCCGACTCATATGAAAATAAGAAGATGTCGGCAAGGAGAAACCGTTATGTTTATGTATGAAATTATACTGCTCATTTACAGAATACACAACTAATTACCTAGCAGAAAAATGGTTGAAATGCATAAATAATACATATAAGTAAAAACTTGATTTCACGTTTAACCATATCAACTATATTTGATTTTGAAAGTATCTTTCTTTGATATTTGACAACATTTCTATGTTTCCAAATTACTCATTTTGTAGTTACAAGTACAGTTTCAATAATCTTAATGTTAACATCACCTTTTAATTAATATTCATACCAATGAGTACATTCTTTTCTATTTTTTTCGGTAAATTGATAGTATTTTAACCAGTACAAAATTCATTTAACATTCAAAAATTCCAATCCAAATTTTTACAACTAATTTACAGTGAGCAAAAAGATGGTTTGATGTTTCTCTTTCTGGAAATAAGCAAACACCATTTTTTGTAGTCTATCTTCTGTATAAATAATATTGTTTAGTAGCTTCCATTGAATTTGTGTTGCTTTTCTATTAACTAAATGTTCGTGAACACTGTTCCAATGGCAACTCAGATTCAAAAGAAAGTTCCCATTTTAGTTCACAGTTTGGTACAATAGAGGTATCAAAGAAATATTGAATATCTTTTAAACGTAATTTCTTTACCTCTATGATTTCATTAATTTTTGTTAAATGGTTGGAGTTTTTACCTTTGAAATGTTTATAAGAATTAAAAGGGATGTTATTTTTAGAATTTAATACATTGATAATGTCAGTTGTGAATGCTGCTTTGATTCGACTCAGCTCTGATATCCTATTTCTCTTATTGATAAGTCGATTGAATATTTCAACGGAGGCTCTAAAACATTTCGTATTTTCGAAAAAAATGGCATAATATAATGAATTCCCCTTTAACTTAATATTAAAATTCTCCAAAATATTGTCTTCTAGTAATACCTCTCTCATCACATATCTATGTACTTTTTTGGAATTCTGACCATGAGACGAAGAGATTACTGTAATATTTCGACATTTTGATTTGACCAACTCTTTTTATATCGGGGCAAGTACAAATGAAAAAGTTTACACCAATTTGTTGTCTAAACATGTCAACCAATATTTTCCTATTGCATTCCATTCCTCCAAATCTGAGTTAATAATGTTATACATACTTTTAATATGTTTGGATTTTACAAAACTCAATAAAATCATTCCTATCCCGCCTGTATGTTTAGATAGACAGCAAACCGCACGCGACCATTTCAAAATAAAAGACCAAAGTTTGAGTATAGTTTGAGTACAATACACTATTTCTAAACTAGAGAATACGATGTACCTTTAAAAACATCAATATTAACATTGACTACAGCTAGTAAGGGTATTAACGACTGTCATCTGCAGCTTCCTGATCTAGACCTCGTTTTTGAATATATGTGCCGTTTTATTTTTCCTTGTTCATACTACTGGTCATCTCACCGGTCGCATGAACATACAAAGTTGTTCAATTGTGTGTTTTACTTTGCCGGTATATGGTTTAGAAAGACAAAAGAAGGTTTATGCATACGTAATACGTGCACGTCTGTTATCGTTTTTTGTGTGCTGTTTTATGATTAATACACATTTGTTTTATTGTAAAGTTGGGATCGTTATAATTTCAAACTGTTCAAATATTCTTTGACATTGTGATCACTCATGGAACATGTGGAAACGAAAAAGAAGTATTCAATCAATGTAATATACAATAAAAGAAAAACCCTGTTTTTTCTTTCAGCAAGACAGATTTTGTCCTTCCGATACTCTTTTTGAAACTGTGCATATATTTAACTCAATTGCTGAAGCTAAGTCAGAATGGAAATCGGTGGAATATATTATGATAAATGTTCTTGATGGTTCTACATTCCGATCAATATTTGAATGCTGTATATTTGGAGAAAACAGATTTGGTATACATCGATCAGAGGCGGTTGTCGAAGACAGTTTTAATTACAGATTAATAAAGCCGGAACTAATAGCTAAGAAATATAAGTGCTCAGTAAAGAACATTAAATTCAAGCCAGTACATATAGGACTGGTGGAAAATGGAAACTCTTGTGATCCATGTGTTACAGTCACGTCTGTTATTTATCCTGTAGTCATGGAACATGGCGCAGGTGTATGTGCAAAAATTGCTTTTAATTATCTCAACCCGTCGTACCTGATTGAATGGTTTGAATACCAGATAATGATGGAAGTAGATACAGTTGTAGTTATGTTACAATACATAAATGACGAAGCACTCGCAGTGTTTAAGTATTACAAACAAAAAGGTTTATTGGAAATTTTGCCGTATCCAATAAAACTACCAGGAAAAACAGGTAATACAATATATACTTTTGTCTATATCTAAGGGACAACATTGTCCCTTTTATGTATGTATTGACACAAGACAAAAATGATCTAAAGAATATGATTAATTTAGTGATAACATTTTCCATATGAATAATAATGACAAGTATTCTTCATCTTTTAATTCTATTTTTGGTACTCTCTGTACGTATGTTTTCAATTACATCAAAAATGCACGACAAGTTTGCACGTGCTTTTATATCATTTCACGTCTTAACAGTGAATAAAACAAGGATTTAACTGGAACCACCCGATAACTTAATAAAGACGAGAACTCAGTACGAAAAATGAATATAGTAAAATTAAGTCTATTTTAAAGTGATGCACACCCTGCCGACGCACCCGGTCTCCTGTAGTTTTAGAGTTTATGCCATTCCCTCAGTATTTCTTTTTTTTCAGCTTGAGTTTTATCTTCTTATTGGTGTAGGAGAATTGAACTTATGTTGTCTCCAATTTAAAGATAATGTTTATAAATGAAATAAAAACTGATAGCTTTAAATTTAAAACAATAACCATTACTACAATTCCGATATGCACATTATTTCTATCACAATTTCTAATTAATTCGAACGCAAAAAATGTAATAAACGTTTGTTTCCTTCACTTTCCTCCGAAAATAAGTATCCTTATTATCCTCTTGTTTTTGTAACACACGTTCAGAAAAATATAGAACCATGGTCCCAAAAGAAACGTAAAACCATTGTTTTATACTATATAGAATATTTACAGTACGCTTGGTCCGGGTTAATTTATGAATACATTAAAAAGAGTCGATGTTGTCGAGTGTAATACCCGTCCGTTATTTAACATCACTTGTCCATAGAAAACACTTTAAAATATGTGATGGCTCATTCTAAAAAAAGTCAGTGACTGTGTTTAATTGGATAGACTTTGTGCAAATTGAAAGTTTTGTTTTACTTGGAGAACTTGATGTTTTAGTATATCTTTGATTTCAGAAACAATAAACCAATCAACAGTTGGGTTTGAATTCAATTGCTTCATAGCGTGCATAGTTGCATTTTTGCTGATATTAATCGTCATATTAAAAACACTAATCATGCAGAAATTTTTCATGGAAACAAGTACAAATGTATTTTGCACTCAACTTCTAAAGTTACACGTTACTGATAAATATACCAACAATGATTGAATGTAACAAAAAATTATTTTTGTCAGTGTTTTATTCTTATACGACACACATATATAGGTTTCAAAAATATATTAAAAAAAAAATGAACATGTATTTCTAGAAAGGAGATGAGCCCGTTTTGGTTGCTATGAATTCGAAAATCAAAAAATATTATAAATCTACAAAATAACAACCTGCAGATGGCCATAAGAAATTAGTCTGTCTTGAATCAGTATTCATAGCTTTGAATTTTGTTTTAATTTTTGCGTTAGGGCTTCAAACTACTTGCATTTAATGCGAAACTGCAAACACTGCCATTTTCGAGGTCTTGAAATTAATATTTAGAAATAAGCCCGAAAAGATATTTCCTACTTAGTGTATTTTACATGGTTTATATCTGAATGATATCTTTTAGGAGTAAGAACTTTTATTGTTCAATACTATGTGGTAAAATATTGTGACATCAACAGTGACATTTCAACCCTTAAGTGTCTAGATTTTATCAATCTATTCACTTATTAATAAATTTTACATAATTTTGAAAGGTTTCAATAAGTTTATTTATTCTAGATTTCAGGGATAGCTATAGGATAATGGCTTTAATCATTTCTTCTCCTTCACTCAGATTTCTGTTAGATGTGTCAGATTTAGAGATTTTCTTCTTTTGTTAGTATCTTATGCTGCCTTCTACAAGGATATTTTATATGTTTGTTGTAGTGATATACCAAACTTCTCCTTTTACTCATACGCATTTTGTAATACAGAATACACAATCATTTCAGATCGTGGATTTGAATCAACTAATTGGCACTTTGATCAAAGTGTTCATGATGAACAGGTTGCTGTTTACACATGTCAGGCATATTTTCAAGGATATGAATTAGTTGCAGTCATCGATTTTGACGAATTCATAGTGCAAGATAAATTCATATCATACAAAACAATGCTAAAGGTATGTGAATAATCATTAAAAGGTTAAATCACCACGTGTTTCAGTTGCACAATACCGTCAGTTAATGTCAAATATAGTACCAAAAAATAACAAATTAATCAAATGCTGTAAAGTAGCTACTTCTTAAAAGGCAACCTATTATAAGGGACTTCTAAATAGAAAAATATATTCCATGGTATCCAATAAACAAGGACATATGTTACTTTATATGAATATACCAAACACAATATAATTTGTTTGGGCTTCCTATCAATACACAAATGTTTTGTGACTTTGGTTTTCCAAATATTGAGTCTGTATCATACTAGCTAGATATAAGGAAGATATTTTTTCAGACCAAATTCAGTTTTTATTTTGCGTTATTACTTGATGATCAAATGTCCCGACTCTCGAAAACAATGATAATGACAATTTTTTATTCAAAGTTAACATTATCTGTGTATCTGCTTATCATTGAGATGACCGGGGTAACTCAAAATGTAATGGCAATGGACTATAATCAATTATATTTGTATTTAAAAACTTATGTGTAATAGAGGTGAAAGTTACCGAAGGGATATTCAATCTCATAAGTCGAAAACATACTGACAAAGCAATGGCAAAAAAGGAACTTTGTTTGTTGAAATGCTTTTATACAATCATCTATTGTATAGAGGTATCTCACAGTAAATGTGAATATGGACTCGTGTTTTCTTATGAAATTTATGTTATGCATATATATTGCTGTTCTAGTTTTAAAATACAAGAAAATACAAATAAAGATATTAACAAATTTGAGGAAATCGCAGAAGTTCCCAAAGGAGCCTGACCGGATACGCCGACAGGAGATGCGTCTCGTGCTATGCATGCATCAACCGCCATGCAAATCAACACTCAGTAAAAATTTCACAACCGGAAATAGGACACAATCGGTACATGTATAGATCAGACGAATGTTCTGAAACTTAAAGATTTAAGGCTGCGAAATCAAATGCAAGTTGAGTTACATACACATCGTAACATATTAATTGAGATATGTAAAGGCCACAAGCTAAAGGATGGGTCTGTTACTGCCGCGAAATAGGAAGCTGACGGTTGGGAATTAGAAATGGTCACGTTTGTCATATATTTGATTTTGAATTTGTCCATTTGAGTCAACATCGAAGAAAATCTGAAGATATGAAGCAGACCTTCTAGTTTCGTCAGTACCTCAAATCTCAAGTTCACTGGGATATATGAGATGCAGGCATTCACTGAAATGTGATTGATCGGGAAATAGGACATCATCAATATTTATCTGAAAGTGATATTCGAATAGAGTGGCGGAAGATACCAAAGGAATATTCAAACTCATAAGTCGATGACAAACTGACAACGCCATTGCAAAAAAGGAAAAAAAATCCAAAATACAAACAACATCACACAAAGCACAACATAAAATACTAAAGACTGAGAAACACTTACCCCACCAAAAACCGGGAGAATCTGTGGTGCTCTAGAACTTAGAAATATGCTACCTCTATTTGTCTTTGATAAGGCTGTATGAATTCTGCTTCATATGAATACAAAAACAAGATGATAATTTATCAGTATAAAAACAAAATTTGCTTGCAGTCAATTCATATTTTATCAATCGTTTGTTTCGTCTATGTTCAGACTGTTTCGTAGTTGTTTTACCTTGACACATAACCATCATACTGAAATGTCTGAAAAAGCTACTGAACAGAACTGAATTGACTGCAAGTGAATGGTCTTAATTGTATTTAAATACTTAGTAACCGCAATCGATAAGTCTGAAAATTGACTGAAAGATTGAAAATCTTTGAATAATTAATGGTTCAGACTTTCAAGATGAAATTAAGACTAAAATGACCACTTAAGACTAAAATTAATTTACCAGTGTCTTGAGGAGACCAAAAAAAACAGTTGAATGTGTTGTCGATGAACAGTCAATAAGTACAAGAACAATATTTTTGTAAAAATCTTACCCAACTTTTAATATCCTAACTATTGGAGAACACGATAGAGACATTTAGAAAATACTTTATAGAGTTTCGAGATACCGAAAACTAATTTTCGTTTACAAATAATTAGTTTTGTTCTTTAGAGTCAATCATTTTGCTTTTAAATTGACCTTATAATTTTATTTCAAATACAATTTCAAGGAAATGCATATTTGCTCAACCAGTCAATGAACTCACCAAATAAAGAATAAGCTGCGTCGGATAAAAATCGACCTTATACAAATGAATATCAATACATCTGTTTACTTAGTTCGGGTTGAAAAAATATTTTTGCAAAGTCTGTAAATGTTTTAAAAATGAGTTGATATAAGACCCCTACAAAACAGATCAAAATTCATCTTTTATTTCGTATTTGAGTGTTCCAAAATCAATCAAAGTCTTATAAATGCACATGTATACGTGCACTTGCATAAGATCGATTTCTATCCGACACAACTCAAATGTTTACGCCGTTGATTAAAGAATATTGACCCATTATTTTCATAATGAATTAAGAACGCTCCGAAAACAAGAAATGTGAATAAAATCATAATATATTCATGTTGTTAAAATTTATAAAGTTAAACTAAACGTCTGTGTGTAAAACGTGTACTCGTTAATCGTAAAAGTGATAAGCTTTTGCCTATTTTTTGATGATTTTACATTTTAATTTTTGGACAGGGATGCAAATTAATTCATTGATCAAATCAATCTTTTACCTTTTCGTAGATTATTTTTAATGAAATAGATGACAATGCCTATTCACGATATTCAAACGGTTTGCTTCCCCAATATCAGTTGTTGTGTAGCTTTTAGTCTTGATGAAAAATAATCGCATCGATTGGCTCAATCCATAATGAGATGGTATATAAAGACGATTGTGCAGTTGTTCTTTAACTCAGCGACTTTCAAATTGTTGCAATATGTAATGTAGAAACTAATTTCTAAAATGAACAAAAAATAATTTTAACCACCGGCTATTGGACGGCTTGTTCTGTTCGAACTCACACACATGATTACAAATCTTTCTGAAATGTTCATTCAAGTGACAATTGTTTTACAAATGACATATCAAAATCAATGCTACCCCAAACAGTGTAATACTTTATCAACTGAAAATCTTTTTTTAATAAACAATTTCTCTAATTCTTAGCCGATCTATCCTTTTCCTGACCTGTTCATTAGTTTTATCAATCAACGTGTGGTTCGTTTGATCTCAGTTCTTCATTGGTCAAAATACAATGATGTCAAATTTGTTTGCTTTTCTCTGAATTTCCTATTCTGACGTCACGACAAAAAGGCGATCTTGCCTGATGACGTTACATAGAAAGGACACGTCTTTTTGCAGATTATTTGAAAAGAAGGATTAAGTTTGTCTACATTTTGTCTTTAAATAATTAATTAGAGAAACAGATTCGTCCACCAAATCTCGTGCAATACGATATTTTTCCATTCCCGACTGTTAAATTTTACTTAATAATAACGCGCAGCGAGCCTCGCGTTTTAACTTTGAAATTCAACTGTCTCGAGGGGAGAAATATCGTATTACACTCGATCCAGTGGTAGAATATATATGTACTTCATTTTGATTGGTAGATATATAAACAAACAATAGGTACCGAAATTTTTCGCATACGAATTCACTGGAAATATGCGACATACTTATGTTTTAAATAGTTAATCAAATAGTTTATGCATTTCAACACAATGCAAATAATCATATCATATCACGGGAGATACAGGGACAGGACGATAGATTCATTATATTCAATGAAACATCAACTTGAAATTAAAAATATTTTTTTCGTCTTACAAATAGTTATGATGTCTTACTTATGTTCACATATGAAACAATTTGTTTTCTATTTGCATAGAAATATCTGAAACTCCCAATAAATATCCCGAAGCTTTATGAAAGGTGAAACAATACGGAATATAAGAAATATAAGTAAGCATAACAAATCAATACACCATCTAAGTAATTTCAAAAGGATGTTTTTGAATACCTTTTGATCATATCGAATTAGATGATAGTATTAAGATGTTTAACTAATTAACTGTCCTTTATTATTACAGCATAAAAATTTAAAAGTAAAAAGTCTATTTTAGACTAATTCTAATCACTAAATATAACCAATATATACGTAAAATAAAATCGTGTATTATGAATAACTGGCATTTATTGCATTTTGTCGGATAATGTGCACACGTTTTTAATGTTTAACCAATCGTTAGAAACCTAAGAGACATTCTTACTGTATCAAAATTATAGACCATCATATTAATGTGACAGTTTAACCTCTTTGAATTTGATTATGGCAGATTAGTCATAATGTTTTTGTTATTGGTGTCAAATTTAAACATAGTCAAACTGATGAATATATGAATAATTTATTCATTTATTTATATTAAAGTAACGAACCGTAACATAACCATCACAAGCTTTGTCTAAAAAAACACAAAGCTTCGTCTTTTCAGATAATGGGAGATATATGATTGCCTGGGTGTTTTATAATAACAAAATAAACTGAACAGGATGATACATGTGCCGGTGGTACTATATGTTGACCTATATCTTCTAGAAGTTTATTGTTTTATTGTGTCTTTGTGTTATTGTCTTTGATGTGTACCTAACGTCTCCTTTTAATAATATCTAATATCGATATATGTACTTAGGGGTAAATGTTATACAGCACAATCATAGACAAAATAGAATTAAAACATATAGAAAGGCAGTGAGAAGCCTTGTTCTTATATTGATAAAGATAGAAAGAAAAGAAAGAAACAGTATATCTTGCAGATTTTTTGGAGCTTCATTTTATAATTAAAAGATGTAGAATTATTGACATATCTGTCTCTTCTTAGGAAAGTGGCTGCAACTGCATACAGTACTTAATTATACGTCATTTGGTCTCTGATAGAAAGTTGTCTCAAAGGCAATCATACCAGATCTTCTTATTTTTATATGTCGTGGAGCTCAGAGTATCCATGCTGTCAGGTCTTGTACCTGCCATGCTC